TAGGTAAGGTGTGAATCTATGTCAAAAAATGAACAGTTTGAAAACATAATTTTCCAAGAGAGGTTATGTAAAGATACTTACTGTTTTGAAAAATCTTTGGCATCATAAACTAGAACCAAGGAGATGATTTTTTTTCTCACTCTGAGGTTGCTGGATAGAGATTTTTAAGCATCTGGTGATATTTGGGACATTTTCAGTAAAACAGAATAGCTGGATGAATGCTTCATCCAGGAATGTGAAGTGCAAAAACAGCAGATATGTGAATATATATTTATAATCATAAATATATTAAAACAAACAGACATGAAAAATACACAGTTCTTATGAAAAAACTCTCACAATACAAAGTTATATATATGAGGATGATTCATATCTCAAAAATACAATCGTGCTTATGGAAAAACAGTAAAAGAAAATGTTAAAATTCTAAATAGTTACTCCTGAGAGGTTAGGAATAGGGATGCTATCCCCCACATCAATAGTAGGGATTGAACCTAGAGCTTGTTGAACTACATTTCCTGTTCTTTTAAAATTTTATTTTAATTTTCCCAGGCTGGCCTTGAACTTTAATCTTCCTGCCTTAGCCTCCTAAGAACAGGGATAATGGATATACACGAACATGCCCAGCTTGGAGATGACTTTTTTTGAAAATGCCATATTGTGTTTTTGCAAAATGATGTTATATTACTTTTAAACTGGGAAAAACATGTATGAAGAAGTCAGAAGAGATGGAAGAAAATACAGCAAAATATAATCGGAGGTTGATTTGGTGAGATAGAATGATATTTTCTCTTTTTTTCAATTACTTTTGCTGTTGAACATTTTCCCTATAATGAACATATATTTCTTTTCATAACTGGAATCAAATAATCTTTATTTAAAAATAAAATCAAATCTTATTTCATTGTTTACAATTTTATTATCTGACAAAAAGTTAGGTGGGCATTTATAGAGCAGTTTAGAATCTGGAATGTTCAGGGGACTGGCAAGTGTATTTTGCAAAAGGCCAGATCATAAATATTTTAGGCTTTGCGGGCTGTATGGTCTGTAGTACACTGTAGGGAGACGACAGATGTAGACAATAAATAAATAATAGGAAAGCCTATATTTCAAGCAAAGTTTATTTGTGGATATTGAATTTTCAATTTTAAAAATTTTTGTGTCATCCCTAAATTTTTAATATTTCTATCAGTGCATGTTTGCAGTACATGATTACATTCATTGTGGGGAGTTGGTACAAGTACATAAAACATATTCATTCTTTTTACCTTTCCTTCTCCCCTCATCCTAAATATTATTCTTATTTTGATTTCTCTTCCCCCAAACATTTAAAAATTGCAAAGGATTCTCAGGTCATATAAGACGAAGTGAGCAGCAAGATTAGGCTTACAGGTTATAATGTGTTGCTTGAGTCGGATGAAATCAGGATTGGGTGAATGAAACTGTCTTGGTTATTTTTCTCTCATTGCTGAGACAAGCTACCCAACACCCAAAATTAAGGAAGAAAAGGTTTATTTAGTTTACAGTTTGTGGAGGTTTCAGTCCGTGATCAGCTGGCTCCAAGGCAGGGTGGTACATGGCCCAGGGACAGCAGTTTAAGGCGGCAGAAGACAGCAAAAGCAACAAGAACCAAAGGAAGAGAACAAGTCTCTTTTCCTCCCTTATACTGTGTGCAGCCTACCTGCCCTGTGGGGGTGGGGGAAGGTCCTTTACACCGACACCATCCTCTCACCCTCCTCTTGCACAGGCTCAGGATGAATACAAAGCAAGGGCCCTGGCTCCTGCTGAGTCATACAGTTAACCTAAACTTCTCAAGTTGACACAATAAACAACATCCTAGAGCAGTAAGCGCATGTTCTTTTCACCCCAGGATGTAGAACTGCTGAGTTACTTATTTATGCTTCTAGACTCCTCAAGTTGACACAATATATGTTGAGTCAGATGAATTTAGGATTGGGTGAACGAAACATACCAGTGACACTGAGTCCCCTGCAGAAACAGATAATCAATTTTGTGTTTATTTTAATCCATGAGCTCTTTGAATCTTTTTTATACTATCCACTTGGTTGTCTGAGGAAAAAGATGCCAAGCTATTTTGTTGAAACATTAATGTAGGAAGAAAAAGATCTGGAAGAAACGGTCATGTAAATCTAGGTCCATATGTATGAAATTTTGCACTAGGTATTTCTGGAATGGTGCATAACATTTATGTTTAATATAAGTCAAAGAGGAAGGAATTATAGGGGTATAAACAGAATATTGTAGGATCATATGAGGGAAATAATTCTGCTTATGGAATTTGACTGGGTTTATTGAGGAAATTGGTAAGAAACAATCTGGTAGGGATAATTTACATTAGGTAGTTGTCACGGAAAAGACTAACACTACAGAAGACAAGTATTTTAAAATACTTTTAGTATTTACAATAATAATAATGAAATATTACTTCTGTGCAATTCACAAACTTTTTAATAGCTAATAAATCAAGGAAAAGGGGTTTATAAAATAACTGGTCCCAAAGAGAATCACACCGAGGGCTGAAGGTACCAACTTTTTTCATGGTGTGCAGCACCATCTTTCTTGTCTCTGCTCCCCTGCCAAACCTTTACCAGGTTACTTTCGCTTATTATTGGAAAGGAAGCCCTAAGTGAATGACATCAGAAGCACTTGCTTCCACCATCCACACAACACCTAGAAAACAACAGGAAGACCAACTTGCATGTTTTGAAATCATGTAGAAATCGCACACGTCATTAAATAAGAACTGATTTGGGACCATTTGCACATTACAAAATGCCAGGGTTTATAAGGTCAACAGCTAAAGGTACTTTTTTTTCTCTTAATTTAACAAATACATACCTCATTTTAAATCTGAGACTATGTGAGATCTTTGGCTAAGTCAAGTACTGTAAGCACATACATGGTCAAGACTTTGGGGGAAGCTTCAGCTGCAGGGAGCCAGACCTGATGAAGAAAAGGGCGCTCAGGCTGTTTGCACAACAAAGAAAGCAGCAAACTTTTATGGGTTTGTTGTGGGGTGCGATAGAAGTCCGGTAAGTGTCCATCAGCCACGGGCACGGTTTTAAAAGATGTCTTTTTCTCACTAGACTGGACTACCAAGTGTCATAGTCAACTTGTTTTAGGAACTGCTGAGTTACTCTGGCAGCCGGGGCCCATCATCCTGTGCAAACATTTCCGCCTTGTTGGTTGGCTTGGGCTTTAATGTTAGGGCTGAAGGACCTTAGGTGCTCAGGGTTGCAGCTGTGAGGACCAGAGCCCAGGGGCAGAAAGATAGTAGAGAGAAAGAAAAACACATACCAGCTTGAAGCTCAGTAAGACAAGTTAACCCTCTCGTAGTCTTGGATGAACAACTTCCAGGGATCAACGTGTCTATATGCAAAACTGGATAGAATCTGACCCAAGAACTAAGGGAACAGACATAGTACCGCAACAGAGATGCCAAGTTTTACTCCATTTGAGTCATCTGTCAGGTATCCGTAGGCTTAGATCTGAAGAGGCAGTGTTTTTACAAGTGCATCTTTCATGCTTGTGTGAAGTAACCTAGGCAACTGTGAAACCGAACTTCAGAGGTGTTATTTACAGTAAAGCTCCTGGGAGACTAACAATGTACTGCCCAGCTGTGTGAGCTCCAGAATTAGCGATTTTTAAGTCTGCTAAGAACAACAGAAGAGGCTTATTTAGGTTTTTTTCTTGGTGACAATTTTCGTATCTTGCATAAGAATTTTGCCTTTGTAGTGAAAAGCCTCATATCCACTCTGCTGAAGAAGTAAAGGATTGTGATACAAAGGGCAATGGGTTACTGCACCAAGAAGTCTATTCTGGTGACTCAGCCTTTGTCCCACTTAGTGGTCCCTAACTACTTCAAATCCATCCTCAACTTCTCACATCACAGATAATTAACTACAATTTTGCTGTGCACCAACTGAGGCTCTTTTTTACTTGCGCATCACTGTGAATTGGACTAGCTCATCCCATACCAACTGTCCAAGTTCATAAGGGCCCCTGAGGTCACAGTAAGGGCTAGTTGCTCTCTTCTTTCTGAACTACTTTATCTCTCTGTAACTCTAGTTGAAAGTTTGCAACCCTAGATTCTGTGCACGTCTCAAAAATGGTAAGCTTTGGGTTCCACCTAGAAGCAGTAAAGAAATTTTTCAGCATCGTTCTCCTTATGCCTAAATTTGTAGGCCTACCAAATTCAGCAGGGGAAATATTGGAATTAAGGAGTGGGGTCCGTACACCATGACAGCCCAAGTCTTTGCTTCTTAAGAATTACAGATTTCCATGTGTTACACTGCAAAAATTTAAACAGGGAGGATTAACCAAATACTTGGATGAACAGCTTAAGTTTAAAAAGCAAAAACAAAACAACCAGCTTGACACCTTGCAGCCTGTTCAGTCCGAGTGGTGAAAAGGCAGAAATGTGCCTTGAGCCCCAATTCGAAAAGGCCTTAGCTGGTCTCAATGTCAGGATTTCATCACGCCCAAACCTTCCATTACACACACACACACACACACACACTTGAGTTCTCAGGTCTCAATGTCAGGATTTCATCACGCCCAAACCTTCCATTACACACACACACACTTGAGTTCTCAGACTTCTCGAATTGCACGTCAGGGGCTCCATTCACAGGGAATTCACTCGGGCATCAGGGAGCACCCTTAAACTGCACGCAGCAAGGGTCAGAGGGGCTCCGAGTAACCCTCGGAGTACCTAAGGCAACACCAGATATAAAAAGGGCTGTTTGTCTGCCTATTTTTATTCCAGAGATGACGACGCACCCCGCTCCGCCACCCACGCACCAGAAAACGTCCACGGGCGTTGCCCCCGCAGCCCCACCCGCCACGGCGAGGCTGGCCCTCCGGGTCGCGGAGAGGAAGCCCCGCTTCCGCCCTGGATCCAACGGGGACGCCGGCCCAGCCCCAGGGGCGGGCCCGGAAGTGACGCAGGGGCGCGCCTTCCATTTTGTGGACCGCCAGCGCTGCTAAGTGCGTCAGTTTTGGAGAGACGTAGACGAGTTGTGTTCTGGTCTGCGGGGAGGTAGACGGCTTTGTCGCAGACTGCAGCCCTCTCTGGGTCTCAGCCGCCAAAGATCCTGTCCGGTAGGTGAGTGGCTCACGCTGAGGGCAAGGCTCCTCGGATCGAGGCTTCTTCATGGCCGCTCAGTTCGCGAGCGGTGGGGGCTGCTCTCTTTGCGGAGGACGGCGTCTAATGAACGCAGTTGATCGAGGTGGGCGCTGGGGCACGTCTCGTTCTTGGTACTGTCTGAGGGGTATAGGTGGAAGGGCGGTCACGGTTTTGAGAGTGCTCGCCCGCTGCAGTCGCCGGGCTGGTCGTTACTCGATCCTGCCTGCAGTGGGCCGGGCCCGCTCTGGCTTTGCCCGGGCTGCGGTGCGGGCGCCCTGCGGGCGTGCACAGGGACCCTGGTGGCGGGGCCGAGGGAAGGGGAGTGCGAAGGGAGCAAGGCACGAGAGCTCTCCGCCGGCGCTGACTCCGCAGCCGCCATTTTATGGCGGGGTGGGGGTGGGGGTGGGGGTCCGCCTGCCCCCGTCTACGCAGGCGCGGCGGGGGCCTCGCGAGATCCCGCCTCCTACTGCTGTGAGCCGCCCGGCGGGCGGAGACGCGCTCGCGGCCGTCCCCCATTGGTTAGCGTCAGGGAGGGCGGGGCCAGCTCCGCCCGCGCTTCTGGGCCTTTCGGAACTGCGGCAGAAGGGAGGGGGCGCGGGAGCCCCGGGGCGGCGAGTGGGGGACAGTACGGCTGCGCATTTGGGGAGGCGGCAGTGGGCGTTGCGGTTGGTGTGGTGTGTAATGGGAGGGTCAGGTGTTGGGAACGAAGTTTTAATTGGGTTTGTAGAGCGGCTGACCTGACATGTAACATGATTCGCTACATGTTTTTATGCTCTCTGTATATTTGATCGCTAGGCATAATGTGCCATTCATTGGTATTGTCTACTGCCTAACAGGACGCACTAGGCGGAGATCATGAGTGGCTGTCGAGTGTTCATTGGGAGGCTAAATCCAGCGGCGAGGGAGAAGGACGTGGAGAGATTCTTCAAAGGATATGGACGGATCAGGGATATTGATCTGAAAAGAGGGTTTGGTTTTGTGGTAAGTATTTAGAACTGGACGAATTACCTGTTAGGTAGTGTGGAAAGCTGTTAATAAGCAATATTTTTGGTATTACTGAGTTCCACTTTTTAAGTTTAGTTTTCAGGAGAGATTATGGAGCCTTGAGACTTGAGTTCTAAAGGTTAAAGTAATTAAATGCCACCTGGCGTCCCCTCCCCATGACCCCTTGATTAGGTATATCTGTATCTTGATGTTAAGATACCGCTCTTCCCATCTTGTCTCAGGTTTTTAGTGTACCTACTGTGTTGTGAAAACGCATGCTTGAAGCCTCAGTAAGCATCTTAAGCTCTATTTTAGGAATTTGAGGATCCCAGGGATGCGGATGATGCTGTGTATGAACTCGATGGAAAAGAACTTTGTAGTGAAAGGTGAGACACTTAATTTTGTAAGTAGCTCTAAAAATCGAGTAGGTCAGCTGGGGTATTTTTCTAAGTACAGTACATCCTTGTATGTAGCTTAAGTACGCAATGGAGATTTTTCGTTTCTACAGGGTTACTATTGAACATGCTAGGGCTCGATCTCGAGGAGGAAGAGGTAGAGGACGCTACTCTGATCGTTTTAGTAGTCGCAGACCTCGAAATGATAGACGGTATGTAGCTGCTTTGAACAGTTGTTACCGCAGGGGCACTGTTAAGGTTCAGGAACCATTTGCAGTAAACGATCGTGGCACTTAAATCTAGTTTATGATTCAGAGCTGTTTCTGATTAATAATTGGTTGTGTCGAGTAACAGGAACTATTGGTGGAGGTCATTTGAATGACTGACAGCCTGATTACTTGAACTTGTCCAGAGTTGAACACAAATGCACATGTCACTGCACATAACACTGCGTATTTTCCATTGTGAATACTCATTTTCTTCCTCAGAAATGCTCCACCTGTAAGAACAGAAAATCGACTTATAGTTGAGAATTTATCCTCCAGAGTCAGCTGGCAGGTTTGTTGAAAACAGTTTTGAGTTATTTAAATGTGGCTTGAAAAATTTTTTAATGGGTAATTAATGTTTTATTAATATATTTTATTAAAAGTAGTTTTATATTTAATTAAATTAATGGATTTAATTAAATTATAATTTTAAATTTTAATTAAAAGTAACTGGGGGATGTTTCAAATTTTAATATTAGTGATCAAATGTAAATGTTTTGAGGATATTTTTTCATGTTTTTAAAAATCAATTTTAACCAAATATTAAACCCTTTATTTGCCAGCCTATCTGTGTCGTTGGCCTTATGACGAGGAGTGCCTGTGGGTTATCCTAATCGTTGTCTTGGTCACTCTTGGTTGGGCCTGGTTGACTTTGCCAGTCAGCTCCTACAGTGATCAATTGGCCACCTCTAGATCTGTGTTTGCCGGTCTAGACGTAATCGGTGCACTTACTTGAAGTGCCGGGTTGCAGCGATCCCAGAGCCTTGATAACGTGATCTGATCCCTAAGTTGAGAGCTGTCTTCTGTAACGCTTCCGAATAAGAGGTCCTGGTCGAAAGAGTTGAAAAGATACGAAATTAGTTGGTCGTTGGAATCCTGATCGCAGTAAAGTGTTCCTTGGTGGTAACTGCACAAGAGTAGAACATGTCTGCATCGCCAGTAGTCTGCTAATAGGGAGGGCTGTGCGATTAAAGGCTTCCATCGATTGGGTAGTATCCATCAAGTGGGTGGCGAAGAGCCAGTCGGGCATTTGTCATGAAGGTTTCTCCGACCGATTAATGGTTTGCTGCTTGACTAGCCTAGGGAAATATTAATAAAGGTAATGTAAAATTTTTTAATGACATCTGGGGCACAAAATAACTGGTGTCTTGTAAATGTTCTGTTTTTTTAAATATAAAACTTCTACTGTAGTCCTTACTTTAAAAATATGTACTGTTTCTTTTTGTTTTGTTTTTTTGTTCGTTTGTTTTTTTCTTTTGTACTGAGCTCAGTATAGACTAATACTACTTTAATGTTAAAAGTCTCTATTTCCTCTAGCATTTTGCTTAAAAGCAATATGCTATTTGCTTATTTCGTGCCCTGACATAATTTTGATTTCTGATAGAATACAAGTGTGGTATATGCCATGTTTGTACTTTATCTAACAACTTCTCTTCCAGTAGTCTTGTTTTTATACCATGTGATTGTTTGTGTGTCACCTTTTCCTCTTCCCTGCTTGACACAATTGTCTTGTGTTAAGGATCTCAAAGATTTCATGAGACAAGCGGGGGAAGTAACGTTTGCGGATGCACATCGACCTAAATTAAATGAAGGGTGAGTGTACTGGAAGTTGTGAAAACCTTTTGAGATAGCCTGAAAATTGTATTGTGAACATTTCTGCGGACGTAACATTTGCAGATTGTTGACTGTAGAGGTTCTTGACTAAGGACCGTTTCACTTCCCTGAGGACGTTTGGCCCAGGGTCTAGAGATTGTCAAATGGTTGTGGTACTGCTGGCATCTAGTGGGTAGAAGCCATGTGTTCCGTTAAATACCGCACAGTGCTGCGTAGATCTCCCTCACAGTGAGGAGTTGTGTGGCTCAAAATTTCAGCTGTGTGAGAATCTTGCTGTGTTGTACTGTACATTGGAAGTAAGATTTAAAATAGCAGTAGCAGAATGATCAGAGCACCCCCTTTCTAATTGAGCCTGCTATGTACACCGTGTGAGGTCGTGGGATATATGTGCTTTTAAAATGACTGTTTCTTATTTTAGGGTGGTTGAGTTTGCCTCTTATGGTGACTTAAAGAATGCTATTGAAAAACTTTCTGGAAAGGAAATAAATGGGAGAAAAATCAAATTAATCGAGGGCAGCAAAAGGCACAGGTATCTCATATTTTTAAGTCAGAAGTTTTATTTAATGAAGTTATATGGCCTGTCATGTAGGCTGATTTTTTTTTTTTTTTCTTTTTTTTTTCTTGTTTTCCCTTATTCACCTTTTTCGTAGTAGGTCAAGAAGCAGGTCTCGATCACGGACCAGGAGTTCCTCTAGGTCTCGTAGCCGATCTCGTTCCCGTAGTCGGAAGTCTTACAGCCGGTCAAGGAGCCGGAGCCGGAGCAAGTCCCGTTCTGTTAGTAGGTCTCCTGTGCCTGAGAAGAGCCAGAAACGTGGTTCTTCAAGTAGATCTAAGTCTCCAGCATCTGTGGATCGCCAGAGGTCCCGGTCCAGGTCCAGATCCAGGTCCAGATCAGTTGACAGTGGCAATTAAACTGTAAATAACTTGCCCTAGGGGCCTTTTTTAAAAAAAAACAAAAACAAATTCCCAAACCATACTTGCTAAAACTTCTGGTAAGTATGTGCTTTTCTGTGGGGGTGGGGTTTGGAGGGGGGGTTGGGTTGGGCTGGACATCTTTGTAGATGTGAACCACCAAGGGGTTGTTGAAAACTAATTGTATTAAATGTCTTTTGATAAGCCTTCCGCTCACATTTTTGTGAATGTCTGAAGTATATAGTTTGTGTACATTGGCAGAGCTCTTTTATAACTAAAGCAAATTTTTTTGTACTAGAAAAAAGTTTTGAACATTTTAGTTCTTGGTTATTCAAATATGTTAATTAAGAGTTAGTTTAATGCTTCAATTAAACTAATTAATAGCTTTGGACACCTAAAAGAGCTCTAAATTTGCTTGTATATAAAGGCTTAATTTGAGTTTTTCTTGTTAGGGTTAAGGGTGTCCTCCTACCCACCCATTAACAGTTGCAGGACAGACACGTACAGCAGCTGTTTGTCAATGATAATAAAATACTATAAAATTGTTTTTTTGTTTGTTTGAAGACGTCCTATACTATTACTTCCATTTCCTTCCACATGTTCAAATCACGACATCTGTAGTCCTGGAATTACATTGTTGACATTTCCAGGTTATTTGAGGAGGCTGAGAAGTCAGTGTTGAAAACAGCGACGGCTGAGAGTTGTCTGACGGCGTGTGTTCCCTTTATCATCTGACTTACTGTGTTGGTGTCAAGTAACTGAAACTGAAAGAGCCAAAAGGACAGTTTGGGAAGCAAGTTATTCAAGTCTCTTTACTGCCTGTTGTACAGTTTGGGTAGTCTGAGTTGATAACAAGTTAATGAACTAATACAGAAACTTGAGAGATTTCCATCCTGCTGCTTTTGGTTCTTAGATATAAATGTGTCACTGTGTATGCAGGGAAAAACAGCGGTCCTGTATACACCTTGATTAGAACTCTATACCTAAGTCTTCAAACTGTGAGGCTAGATAAATACTTAGTAACAGGAAGATCTGTTTAACGTCAAACTAATAGTGTTTTTAGTTATTTTTTTTTTTACCGTATTATTGAAGGGAATTCAGGGGCTTTGAGGTTTTTTTTTTTTTTGGTATTGGGAATCGAACTCAGGATGTTGTGCTTGCCAGGCAGGCGCTGTGCCACTGAGCCATATTCCCAGCCCAGGGGCTTTGAAAAGGACTACTAAGGGATGGAGTATTAGAGTCTCAGACGTCTGGTTCAAGGGACCCTAAAACTGTACAATACTCTTTTATTTCCTGTTCCAGCTAGGAAGATGGGATTAGGAAAATGAAGCTTTTGGCTTCCCCAAAGTGGTGTGGGGGTCAGGGAGTTGGGATCTCTGTCTGGGGAGTAGGTTTTAAAATGTTAGGTGTTCTTATATGAAGGCCCTTTTCCTACAGGACTAGAACTTGGACCAGGAAATAATACGGATCCTTTTAATAGGCAGAGTCAAAGGGTTTGTGCTGTACTGGTTTATAGTTTATTTGGTACCGGAAATTAAACTCAGGGCCTTGCCCTTGCCAGGCAGGCACTGTGCTGCTAAGCTACATCCCTGGCCCTTTTCATTTTTCCCTGCCTTTACCCTTAAATTAGTGATGCAGAGACTTACTGCTTTTTACAAGCATTTTACAGGTGCCTATGAGGGAGTAAAATCTTTAAAAGAAGGGGTAGAAGTAACAGTTCCAAAATGGTAATCAGTTTGAATGAAGAAGCCCAATACGTAGATCCAAGACTTGAGAAGTCGTGAACAGTGTGGATGTGATACTAAGGGGAGGTTTAAGATGAGTCTCTAATGTGATGTAGCGTCGTTTTCTGTTAATATTCCTGTCATCTAGTTTTGTTGAGGACAGTTTAATTCATCACATTTCTAAAGCTAAGCAGACTTTTCCTGTGGTATCTTGTAGGTAACGAAATCTAGCAGCTGTCATTTGCATATTGGAGAAGAGAATTTGAGTAGATAATCCCTGTAGGGATACAGTCTATAAAAATGCTAAGTAGTAACCCTTTAAAAAGTTGTTAAAAGGGTATTAGTGACCCCACTGGGGATGGATGATGTCGTGTGAGACAGTTTCTCACTACGTAGTTCAGACTGGCTTTGAATTTGGGATAGTCCTCTTGCCTCACCTCCAGAGTGCTTTAATTACAGGCATGTGCCACCATACCTGTTTTTTCTTTCGTAGTTGAGGCTGGTCTTGAACTCACTAGCTCAGAGCGGCCTTGAGGCGCTCATACTGCCTCAGCATCCTGAGTGTTAGGGTTACAGGTGTGTGCTGTCCAGATCAATTGCTGATTCTTGACCTGGTATTGGAGTACTTGTTCTGCACATTTCCTAGATTGGTACTGTAGTGGATTGTCAACTTGTAACACCCAGCTGAACTGAACTAGTGTGGTTATGGAGTGGGAGGCCCACCTGAGGATTGTGGCCAGCAGCATGAGAGGAAAAAGCTGTAGAGAGCTGTGGGTTTTCCTGGAGGAGCTTGTCATACCAGCTTTCCAGATGAACTTGGCTGTTACCATCAGAGGAGCTCGGGACCTTGTCATTGAGAATGGCTACAGTTCACTTTGTGGGAGCTCTGGTCCTTCCTTTGAGCATTGCTTCCTGGTTCCACATCCCTCCATCTGCTAGCACAGATCCTTCATCCTGCTGGCACAGACTTTAGCTTCCAGCACTGACCTTTGGGCCTTTCCCAGTGCAAATCCATGAGACAGGTCTGCATGAGGCATTGTTTTGGGCTCTCGGCCTCCCATTGGACTCAGGAGGGACATTGTTATGGGCTCTAGGACTTTAGCTGGACTCATGCAGGACATTGCCTGGGATCCAGGCCCTCAGCTGGATTTTAGTGTGTGGACAGATTTCCTGTACTCTTTTGGGTGACTACTACAAAATAATCTTACAAATGATGTGTCATGTATTGTTCCCCTTGAAAACCCTGACTACAACGGGTAGTGTAATTGACCTGTGGTTTCAGTTGTACCTGATAATGATTATAGGAAGTTCACAAGTATCTAGGCATGATCAGTGTGCAAGTGTTTAATGTTACTTATTCTTTCAATGCTTATCGATGAATGATGTATAAAATGTTTAACAGAAAGTTTGAAATTTGAGAATGGCATTTGAATTGTGAAACTATTCTATGAATAGTTTGTAGTACTGCCCCAAATTTTGGGGTATATAATACCACTGATACATGATGATGTGATCAATGAAATTGTTAGTGTGTTTTCTCGCCTTGTTTCTTGTCTGTACTTCTGGGACTTAACAAATCTTAGAGCTGAGAGGAGCTGTTTTGTGTCCTGTTTAGTTGCCTTTGCATTTTGTGTCTACTTTTGCATATTTGGTGTCATTTGACTGGGGTTCTCAGGAACTTCAAATGATGTCATTGGGAATAGAATGGAATCTGGGCTATTTTAGAGTAGAACATCTGTGGTCTGCCAATTTTTCTTTCAGGTTACAAAACTTTGAAATGGCATTTAGATACTTGATGAATGGGTGGAACATCCATTTATTGATTGGTTCAGAAATTGACTTTTTTTTTCCCCCCTGGTACCAGGAATCAAACTCATGACCTCACACTTGCCAGGCACGCGCTGTGCCACTGAGCTAAATCCCCAGCCCAGAAATTGACTTTTATAAGCTTTACAAGGCACTGTTCTAGAGATTCAGGGGCGAAAGGTGGATTTAAAGTATTTGCCTCCTTGAGAATTGTTAGTCATTGAGCAAGTCTCTTATTTTTCAAACAAGTACCAAGTCCTGAGCTGGGGATCAGTGAGGCTTCTTGCATAGGTTTTCCTCTCTGTCCTTCAGACCAGGACTTAATGATTCTGCTGATTTGTTTGCTGAAAGTGAGGTTTTCTGGAAGTGCCAGAGAAATACTCAGAAGCCTGGTGTTCTTTTCTTATTTGGTGCTCTGTTGTTTACTCTATTGGTTTATTGACTTGCCATCTGGGTGGAATCCAGGCCATTGAGGAATGGGCTAGGCTTGGGGATACTCCTCTTTGTGGGTGCCGTTTTCCAGAGCCTTTGGAATTGCTTCTTCAGTTGGGGTAGCTTTATAGATCATTTTTGTTTCTTCTGTAAAGGTAAAAAAGTTAATGGTTTGGAGAGAAAAGAGCAGTACAGAATTTATCTGGAAAATATAAGAACTCTTAAACTATTGGTAGGGTGTGCTGTGTATTTTCCGTCTCTTATCCCTCCTGGTTTCCCTTCAGTTCCTCTATGGTAGCACTAATAATAGGATACCTACTAGGTACATTGGAGTACTGAGTTTTTATCACTCCACCTACAACTTCTTTGTACGTGTAACAGTGAGGTAGTAGGGGAGATAAATTTATGTAAGTGAGGATGACTTGTGTTCTGCAAATAAGGACTAGGCAGGGAGCAAGAGCTGGAGGGAAATCTGACCAGGAGAGTTGCCAAACTACAAATGCACATTGCGCTCCTGTTTTTCCTGCCTGAGTGGAGGAGGTGAACTTTGGAAGTTAGGAGTCACTGTTGCTGTTTTGCCATGCTTGTAAGAGGGAGCAGGAGATGCGATGGACAAGACTTGTGACAACCTGCATGTTCTGGTGAGTGTTGCCTAGGGCCATTAGCTCCAGCGAGATGAGTTACAGAGTTTGCCACTGAGGTCTTGCAGAGGAGCTGTTACTGAGTTTCATTTTAGGCCTTAAGAGCTAAAGGTCTATAAAGTGCTTTCAACCTGGAACCTGACCGGACATTTTACACGTGTGTGTGTGTGTGTGTGTGTGTGTGTGTTTTAAAGTAGGGGAGAAGCCTGTTTGGCAACGAAGGTTTTGTTCTGAGATGCTTTAGGCTTAGTTCTTTTCCACAAACTGTACTGTAGGTTCTGAACGAAGGCTTATAAACTGATTCTAGAGTACAGTCAGCCCGTTGTTTCTTTTTGGCTACTTGATTATACAAGAGTACAGCTTAAGCTAATTGCATAGGGGGAGAAAATCTGTATTTGCTTAGCATGGTAATAATGACTTTTCACCAGGGAAAGTTGTCTTATTTCTGTAGGGTGTAAATCAGTCACAAGGCTGAGTTTAAAGAGGCCTAAAAGACATGGGAAATTGTAGTAGAAGGAATTGTATAAGTGATTAGGAAAAATACTGTGATGATGGGGTTATAGTTAGATATGTTAAAAAAGCAAGATTGAGTCTCCTGCTGTTTGAAAAAAGGACATTTGTGCCAGTCAGTGGCACACCTACAACCTCTGCTTCATGGGAGGCAACTTGGTGAGACCATCTCCCCCCAAAACAAACAAACCCTGGGAATGTAGCCCAGTGCTGCCTGGGTTCAATTTCTAATACAGAAAACCAAACTTGGGATTACACTGCACTTTGAAGGAGCAGTATTGTGGGGGGGGGGGTTGTTTTGGTACTGGGGTTGAGACTCAGGACCTTGCACTTGGCTATATCCCCGGCCCTGGGTTTTCTTGAGGTTTGATTATATTGGAGGAGAATTACATTTTTTAAAAGTATTATATTAATCAAATAGTAATAAGATCTAAGTTAAGCTTATCATGATAGTTACTGTTAAAAGACATGCACTTAAATTATTGTGCAACCAGAGTTAAATCCTTTTTGGATTCTAGATTACATAGGACTACATTGCTTTTATAGATTTTTTCCGTGGGTGTTCGTGGTGCCAAAACATAGACCTGGTTCCCTAAAGAAAGATGCTTCCTGAGCCTTTCACACAGTACTTTAGAACTGTCGTGTCTGAACGGCTCTGCTGTGTCTGCATATAATGAAACAGTCTCCCCTCCAGCCCAGATCGCCTCAGTCCCTTGAGACAAACACTATACCCATGCTTTGACCGTGACCCCCAGCTAGAAGTCAGAAATGGAAGGCAGTTAATGGAAGTAGCCTTGGCTCTTTGTTTCTTCCATACTACTTGATTCTTAGTGACCCGATGAGAGTTAAAGTCCCGTCTGAAAAGTCCTGCTAGAAACAGGCTTGTTGGCAAGCTCATGTCCAGGATGGGAAGAGTTGGAAGGGAGATGATGCCGTACTTACCTTTGGAAGGTCTGATTTTCTTATAGCACCGAAAGATGCCGATGATGAGAAATCCTTCAGCAACTTGGAAAATCATGTAGAGGAGCGGGAAAAAGAAAAGTGGCCCAATGACTTCAGGCCTGAAGGTCACATTGAGGATAGTAGCACAGAGTTGAACGTTTTGAAATCCGGTCTCCATGCTGACAGTGCGTCTGCACCTGTGTGGGTTCAAACAAACACTGTACTCAAGGAAGGGACCTGAGAGAGAGTGTCTCTGTCCCCCTTCCCAGGTACTTAAGGACCCACTGAAACCCAGCGTGTGAACATGCAAGGGACCAGACTGCAGAGGGCACATGGGTTCAGGTTGACCCATCGCTTTATACTAATCCAGCCTTGTGGAGGATGGTGACAGGAAGTTTGTATGAGTTTTGAGTAGTTCTAAGTTTGATTTCACAGAATTGCCAGGTTGAAATTTGGATGTAATGGCTGGCTGGTAAGGGCTGAAGGGAAGGTGTGAGCCAGTATCACCCATTGTCTTGCTATGTTGGGCGCATAGAACAAACGATTTTTAGTAGACAGTACAAGATAGTTGAAATGCCCAGGACACCCGTTCCCAAGTTTCTGGCTTAGGCGTAACTCAGACTTCGGACAGAAGTCCCAAGTTTGATTCAGCTCCACTGTGTGTCTTTGGAAGATGTTTTCCTAGTTTTTCATTTTGCGAATTAAAAGAGTGGGGTAGTTACATTGAATGAATACACATTTCATAGAATTCCAAGTGTGTTAAATAATTGTCTTAGAACTGAAACTAACTGATGTTATAGCACATTTATTGTGAAGGAAAAGTATAGTGCTGACGCTTGGTGATACGGCCTTTTATCATCTGCAATAACCCGTACTAGTGAAAACGGACATTTGTGGTCATGGACAGCCTTTGACTCACAAGTGTGACATCTTGTAATTGGCTCATTAGCGTGGCTTTGGCTGAGGGTGGTGGCACATGCCTGTACCTGTGCTTTGGAGGCTGAAGCAGGAGAACCTGAGTTTGAGGCCAGTCTGGGCTACATAGTGAGACCTTGTCTCAAAACCAAAAATTAGTATAGCTTAATGATTTATTTTTTAAGTTGTGTTTTGAAAGTACATTTTGGGGGAGTTGCGACTAACAGACCCTTGGGTCAGCATTTGCCAGGGCTGAAAACCAGGAGAGTTCCTGCGTTAAACAGTGCAGATGAGGCACTCTTAGTCCCATGCTGCGCCCTCGCGTTGCTTCTGTGTAGTGACAGAGTTGAATTGGACTGCAGCTGAGTATCTCAGGTTGCAGAGCCATTTAGCGCTCTCACCCATTGGTGTCCTCCTCAGGACTAAAGGCGAGGAGAGGGAGGAAGAGAGAAGTGTTGGCACTTGCGCGAAGCTACCCCAGTGCTCCGACGTGCAGAGGGTGGGTGGGGTGACGTGGATTCTGGGCTCTGGAGGGGAAGGGGCTGTGCCAGCCTCTTGCTGTTGGGAACGTTAGACGCCTTGAACTTAACTCCAACCCGTTAGTTCCTTGTTCACTGGGCACCTTTGAGCATATTGCTAGGAAAACGCTTTGCCCAGATCTCAGGTTTCTGAGTCCTGTCTTTTCCCTGAAAAGTGGGACTAAAGTAATACTTACTGTGCATTGAGGCAGAAGAGAGCAGAGAGAAGGTAGCCTAACACAAAGCCAAAGCAGGGCATGAGGGAGGAGGTGGCCAGCAGGTGTGGTGTCATGACAAACATGATGCTCTTGCCCACGTTGAAGAAAGAGAGGACTGCGATAGCCACACTGAGAAGGAGAATAATGGTCATTCCTACCTGGACGTGACCGGAGAGAAAGCAGTTAGGGTGATAGGGTCAGGGAGGGGTCAGGAAGTGGAAAACGTTTATCAATTTCTTGGAACGAGGGGGACCCGGGTCCTTCATGTTGGGCTGTGTCCCCCCCTCCCCAACCTTGCTTTTAGTGTCCTAACTTGGTGAGGCTGAGCTGAAATACGGGACCCTCCTACATCTGCCTCCCGAATTTGAGATGTCACGCATGTGAGCCACTCGCGGCTACAAAGCATGTAGTAGAACATCATTAGTATGTGAAGTAGAAGGGACTGGAAGATCTTTATCTTTTTTTCTTTTTTTAAACAAATGTGTTACCAGGACAGAGTGGACTTCACACTTCACTAAAAGCTCAGCCAAGCATAGGTACTTTGACACATCACTGAATAGCGGATTATCAGCGAAGGGCTCTGGTTCGGAGGGGATGAGGTTCAGGCCTCCTGCAGTGTCGGAAGTATGAATTAAGTTTCAGAGTCATGCTGGGCATACATCCCCGTGGTACAGAGCTCGCCTCGCGTGTGTTGGACCTTGGTTCAATAGTGCTACTCCTGGATGTTGGGCGTATGTGCACTTACATCTCCCCTGCTCTCGTGCTGCTTGCCAAGTTTGCCCTTGATGCCCTATGGACACTGTTGAGCGTTTTCTCCAGACTTAACTAAACCCTACCCTTCGTGGTCTGGCTCAAGCCCATCCCCTCTGAGAAGTCCCCTTGACCCCCTCAGTCCTCAGTAATCTTACCACTGCTGATAACCTGTTCGTACACCTGTTGTTGGGTCTTATTTCTCTCATGTTACTTCACTTTCTGCAAACAACACCCTTGAGGACAGCGAATCCTTACAATACACAGCGTAACTCTAGCATCTAGTAGTGTTAAGTAATTACTGTTAAAAATATTATACCTTACAGCTGTAGTGTTTTTACTTTTCTCCAAACCTTTCAAAACGGTTCTCACACACTGAACAATCTCATGAAGTAGGGTTTTTAAAATTTTTAAAATATGTACAGAAACACGTAAAAAAATTGTATGGTTTGGATGGGTGGCCTGCAAAGGTCCATGAGACTTGGCCTCAGGGTGGCATTATTGGGAAGTACAGTGATCTCTAGCGGGTGGCCCTTATGGGGAAGGCCCCTAGGTCTCTAGGAGCAGGCCCTCGCAGCGACTGGGAACCACCACCTCCACTTGCCTCTGCCATGATGTCCCTCCCTCGCTGCGGCTCGGCCAAGGCGAGGGAGCCTCTCTTTACTTAGTAACCTTCGTAAGCGGTGGTGTTGCTCCCTGCCTATGATAACTTTCAAAGGTAGGGTCCCCGTCTTACCTTTTTGATGTAGGGTACGTATTGTGGCCGTTTGGATCTGAGGAAGATTCCTATGCTGCAAGGAATGAGAATTGTGACCAGTGATATCATGATGCCTCCGTAGGGCACCTTGTCCTTCAGGTCCCCCTCGTATATCCCTCTGGAGTAGAGGAACAAGAGCAGAGGCATCAGGCCCAGGGCACAGAAGGTGGAGCAGGTGGTCATCACAATGCTGGGGAGGACACATGGGGAGAGGGGATACAGCCCATTAGTACACTCGTATTGAATGCCTGCTGCGTGCTAGGCACAGTGATAAGTGCTTTAAAACACTGCTTCATTTTCTTGGGCACTAAGTGTACTGTCTGGTTTTTGCTTATAAGAAAACAGGACTAGAGAAGTTGTGACTTGACCCAAATCACACATGTAAGAAGTAACCAATACCCTATGTGCTTTGTTGAAGGAGCCATTCTGATGTCTGTAATAGAACTTTTGTTTTTTTAAATACTTTTGAGTGCCTGCCATGCGCACAACGCATTTTGAATAAGGTTACCTGCGCAGTACCATCACTCGACTATATCCCTTAAGCTTGTGGGACTGCACCTGCCACAGAGTTGCTAAGTGGCCTTCGTAGATCCCAGGGAACAGCTGCTGTGGTGCCTTTGCCCAGCTGAGGAAAGGACGAATGATACCAAGTACATTTTACCTTGTGGGGCATTTGTGGTTCACAGTGACAGTGCAGTCAGCTAAGCTAAAAGTCACAGCAGTAAACAGAGACCATGGTTAGAAACTGACTTGGGAAAGGGAAAGTCGTAGAAACAGTAACAGACTGGTTGCAATAGTGGAGCAGTAGAGGAGGCGGCAATTACTCATGAAAAAATGGCGTGATAATTTCATAGATGCAGAACAGACTGATTCAGTATTCTTAAATGTTAAAAACAGCGTACTAACAGTGGGAACGGCTAATTCTGAAGAGGCTCTCACAAAATCTATAGCAAACATTAAATTGATGAAAAACTGGGATTTCCTATAAAAAATAAATCAACAGTACCTATTATCACCTTTGGTACTACACAAAGTCCCTTACCACCCCAGCAAAACAAGAAATTGAAAAGGTATTGGTCCCAGCACTCTGGGGAAATGAGGCAGGAGGCAGAAGATGGGGAGGGGGATGGGAGGGGAAGTCAAGGTGTAGAAATGGGAAAAAACTGTAGGGTTTTTTTGCTAATGATAGGGTTATCTAGGGAAGAAAACTTCCATCATAATTAGCAAGTAATAGAACACACAAAGTTCTAAATATATTACCAATATAAAATAATTGGAGATGGTACAAATTTTTTTTTAAAAAAAGACCATTTGTAATACAGAAAGTACGAAATACACATCAAAAAGAGATGTAAGTTTAATTTTCGGTTTTTTTGAGACAGTTTACTATGTTGCTCAGGTTGGTCTTAACTTGTCCCAAGTGATCCTTCCTCTGTCTCCCCAGTAGCAGGGATTACAGGTGTGTATCACTGCCTGATTAAGACAAGATCTTTACTGAAGAAATTGTAAGACTTCATAGGTGGGTATAAAAAGCCTAAGTAAAAGAAAAGCTATATTACATGGATGGGAAGACCTGAAATTCTAAAGATCTTTACGTTTTGATAGTGTAAAGCAAAGTTACTTAAAATTTCAGAATACTTAAATTTTTTGTAGAGCTTTTACAATCTCACTATGGCCTAAGCTGACCTTGAACTTAGTTCAGTGATCTTTCTGCTTCAGCCTCCTGAGTGCTGGGATTTACAGGCATGTTTCACCACTCCCAGCTCCGATAATTTTTTTCTGTAGATTTGAGAACTGGTCCTAAAATTTAAGGAAGCTGGGCGTGGTGGCACGTGCCTGTAATCCCAGAACTTGGGAGGCTGAGGCAGGAGGATTGTTGTGAGTTAGAGACCAGGCTGGGCTACAAAATGAGGTCAAGTCCAGCCTAAACTGCATCGCGAGACCCTGTCTCAAAAAGACCAAAAAAAAAAAAAACTTAACAATCTTCAGTAAGAATATAGTAGGAGGACCTCCCTGTCAGACTTGCAGAGTCACTGAAAGAAAATGTACTTCGGGGGAGCCACCCAGACCAGTAAGAGAGGTCCAGACATAAACTCATACACACTTGATTTATGAGAGGTAGAGTTACAAATTATTGAAGAAAAATCAAAGTGGTGTTGGGAATTGTCGTAAGTTCTAAACTGATGGAACATCTCTAGGAGAAGAGCAAGAATTTAAAACTTTTCAAAGAAAGTGTAAGTATCTTTGTAACCTTGCAGATTGAAACCCCAAACCATAAACGTATGAGGAAAACTACTGAATTTTGATTACGTTAAAACAAACACTTTTTGTAAGATGCCAGGATCAAAGGGCAAAGACGGGCTGTAAACTGTGATTGTTGCAACATTTATGAGTAAGAATGTCACAAATGGACAAGACGTTAGTACAAAACCCATGGAAAAACATGCAAGCCGGAGACATTTTCAGAAGAGGGACCTTAAATGGCCAATAAACTTAAAAGCTACAGGGCCTCCCGTGGAGTGAAATTTAAAACCATTGTGATCCATTTCTGACTGCTCAGTTGGCAAAGGTTAAGTCTGACAATTCCAAATTATAAAGACATTGAAAATAGGGATGTAGGGAAAATAGGGATGTCATCCCTATCCACTGCCCCAGAAAGGGTGAAGTGGATGGAGTAACTGCTTTGAAGACATACGTGCTGAAGGTGTGTGAGTCCCACCAGTCAGTGCTCACATGGGAGCAGGGGGCCTTCCACAAAACTCCATAGAAGTGAGCATGAAGCCCCAGAGCTGTCTGGCTACACAAGAGATAAACACACAAACTACACAGCGGTTCAGATACATCAGGTACTACGTGCCTGACTCAGCAAGCTGTCAAACGGTATGAATGGTTAATACAAAATTTCAAGACCTGTGAATACGGCTTTTTGAAAACGGAGGCACACACATATGCCAGTAGTTCAAGAAGCTCCCTAGAAATGCTGAGCTCCAAATCCTGGGAGGTGCTCGCTCTGGGGTGTAGTAGGGGAAATGAGGCTGGGCGGGGAGGCACGGATTTCAGTGGTACCTACTGATTTCTGTAGGAAAATAATTTGCAACTTGTTTGTTCTGCGGCAGAGCAGTCGTGCTTGCTCTGGCTTGGTGTGCCAGGAGCTTTGGAGTTTGCTCTGGAACTTGGTGTGCCCTGCCCTCTTGGCGTTCATCCCCTGATCCTGCACTGTCTGTGACTTGTGATCCTCCGTTTACTCGGAGGAGCGAGGAAGGGGATGTGGCTGTAGCTTCAGCTTCTTAGCTCCCAAGGTTGGAACCGTGGTGACGCTGTGGGCGTGGCTGCCTCTTGGGGAAAGGGCACACTGGGTTTCCTCATTTTGCTTTCCTGCTTAAGTTCTAAGAGTACTGTGTGTGTAGTTGCTGCTTTTGTGCCCTATTTGAGGGATGGGTTTTGAGCCCCCGTCAATGGAGAGGTTGGAGGCCGAAGCTGAGGGAGCTGTGAGGGACCCCCAGTCTTTGCTGAAGTGGAATATCTGGGAACCTTCGTGGCTTCCTTCCTGTCTTGGTTTTAGTTCTCCTACATCATGGTGGGGAGACCGGTGGGAATCTTTGAGTTCTGTTCAAGCCTGCTTTCTCCATAGCCACTGGCTGTGGTCCTGCTGTGGGCCCATTGGATTGGGGAGCGGAGGAACTTGAGCGGTCAGTTCCTACTGGCGCTTTCTCTGTTGCCATGCTGCCATCGTCCGCTTCAGCTTGGAGCATGCTTTGTGCCACCTTACTCGGATGCCTGTGAGGACCCACCTGTTGACCTCTGGGAGATTCCCTTGCCTCACTCCGCAGGAGGTGGAATGACCAAGGGGGAGAGCTGTGGGTTGGCACTAGACACAACCTTCACACACATTTTGAGAAACATTTGCAGGTTTCTGGACTTCTACTTTCTTCATGGGTAAAAAGAAACCAATATCTTACTAATGCCTCCGGACTAGGACAGTAGGAGACATCTCAAATGACCTTGGAATGACACCTGGCTCTTAGGCTCTTATTGTTAGATTTGCACAATTCTTCAGTTTGGGTCGCTGATTCTTAAAACTTTAGACATTTCACATAAGAACGGACGTTCTGCCTTCTGGAAAGCAGGAAGCGGTGACAGCAGCAGGTCTGTTCCCGTGGGCTACCTACATCCGCCCTCAGAGAGGCTCGTAGTTTTGAGGATGACAGGCAGCCTGCGGCCGCCTTGTTTACACTGGCCCTGAAGATACTCCAGTCAAAGCACAGGTTCTGGATTACACTCTAGAACGCAATTTCCTGGGGGCGCCGAGGATCACACGCAGTCACTCAGGTAAAGTGGGTACCACAGGTTCTTACTATCTCTGTTGTTACTGTGATATGATGAGTAGTCCCAGATGAACTCAGGTTGGAATTTGAAGTCTTGCAGCTCATGATAGTGACCGTTCCTGCTCCTCCTGTGGGGACAGGTACTTTATAATGTGTCGGGAGGTTGGTTTGTGCAGAAGGGGCTTTACGGCTGAAGGCAGCTGTCGCAGCAGTGCTGTCTCCCGGGGGTCTGGGAAGAGGCAGCAGTCCCCAGGAGCCTGGTCAGGAGGCCGAGCGTGTGCTTGAGTCACTGGAGGGCTGGCCCACGGGAGACCGCGAACCACAGGAGAGCCGCGCTGCTGGCACAGTGGGAACCCCCGCGCGAAATAAAAAACTCGCCCGGTGCCCTGCATGTTGTCTCCTTGCTCTGCGGCTTCCTGCGAGCCCCCTTCCCTGGGCCCCGTTTCCGCTTCCCTCCTGCACCAGAACTGGGTGCGGTCTGCCTTCCTCGGGGTGGCTCTGCAGCAGGGCGCATCTGGATTGGACGGAGGGAAGAATTTCCTCACACTGAGGGGGCTGGACGTTGAGATCTGCTTCATCCCTGTCTCCCCCTGGCTCCCTCCGGGAGGACTGAGTCGCTTCTCAGACGGCAGCTTGTGGCCCCCAGTGCTCTTTCCCAGTCTTTGTAGTTAAAAATCTGCCTAAGGGCTGGGGATTCTGGGTTATATCTCCAGCACCGCAAAAAGAAAGAAACTGTCCCAGGGTCACTGCGTCATCCAGAGGTGCTTCTTCACTTGGGTAATTTTCCCTGTAAACCGGCCACGGCCAGGTCCTGCCAGACACATGCGGGTGGACTCTGGATTCGCTGCTGGACCTGCCTTGAATAACGGCTCCACCGAGGACCGGCCCGGAGGGAGCTGGCTGGGGACTGAGGCTCAGACAAAAGCCGGGGCTTCTGCCGGTGCGTTTTCTTCAGGCGCAGCACAAGCTGCTGCTGCAGGTGTGGGTCGCCCCTGCCAGCAGGAACTCAAGGCCATCCCCACCTGTTGGGAGGGGTAGGGGCTCCACCCGCCCTGTGTGCAGGCAGTCAGAGCGCCCTGCTGAATTTGTGCTGGCTGCCGTCGACAGGGCTGTGTGTGTGAGTGGTCGTCTTCCTACGGCTAGGCTGAGGTGGGCCCTTTGTTGAGAAGCACCCCGGGGGCGGAGGGAGAGAAGAGAAGACACCCAGGGCCCAGATACCTTGGAGGGGCTTTTGGAATTCATGTGTTCCACGGGAATTGGAGGTGCTCATCTGCTTCCAGGTCACCTTGGTGCGCCTGGTAGTGTTTGGAACCCATTGTACCCACTCCCGTCCCTAGCCTCAGAGCTGGCACCCCTCCCTTAGGGCTGCACTTACCCAGGGGCACTGTTTGAAATCAACGCACCTTTAAAATAGCACTTGTGCCCCTCTTGAGATGCTCTGAGAGGACGGGGTCTCTCGGAGGCCCCTGGACCGGCTCTGGCTTGGTGCTTAAACCAAAACGGACCCCAGCACCTGCCCCCTGCCCAGCATAAGCTCTTGGTACTGAGTGCCAACGACCCCCACGCTGGCATCCACCCCGCTCTCCCGCGCCCCTCCTGGCATCAGCCCAGCTCTTCCCCTCAGTTGATGTCTTTGTCCCAGGCTGCTCCCTTCTCACCCCTGGCCCTACCTGAGGTTCATGTCCCCGTTCACGGCCAGGCTGAAGATGTTGGATAGGTTCCCCCCAGGTGAGCAGCCGCAGATCAGGATGGCCAGCGCCTCGATGTTGTTCAGCCGGAACATCTTGCCCAGCGCGAAGGCGGTGAGGGGCATGATGCCGTACTGGGCGACCATGGCGACAGCCAGCCCCTTCGGCCTCCAGAGGTGAGCCTTGATCTTGCTGAACTCCATGGTGCAGCCCACCGTGAGCATCACGAGGAGCACCATGCACACCAGGACGACGCTCATCGCCAGGTCGGAGGGGCGCGTGCCGAAGCCCGGCGGCAGGGAGAAGTTGAAGGGGGCGGACTCGTTGAGCACCTCCATCCCGAGGCGGCGCAGACCACCGTGTTCTGCCGCAGCCGCCCTTGCTCGTCCAGTCCGTTCTGGGTGCCTTCTGTGATCACCTCGCAGCGCAGGTTTCTGGACTAAGTGTAGCTCTGGGCAAATAGAGGTATTGCGCAACGACTGAGCTGTGTCTTTGGTTGTGGCCCCAGGGAAGAGAGCCCAGATCCTTATCTGCCTGGCTCTGTCCAGCTCTCCCCAGTGCCCTGACCTCTGTTGCCCCTGGGGTGCCACTCACATGCCGCCCCGCCGCTTAGCTGCTTGTGGGAGCCAGAGCTTATTTCTCTCCTCTGCCCCCAGCCGTGTGCCTCCCTGACATTCTGCACTAGGGACCAGTCCAGGGCCACACTGACCTGGCTCCAGCCCTTTCCCCCGAAGCTCCTGCTGTCAGCTCAGTCCTGATGCCTCAGGGAAGGTGCCTGCCCCACGCCCGGAAGGTTACTGTTCGCCCCTAAACCCCACAGGAGTGAAAGGAGCTGAGTGTTAACCTTCTTTGGTTCCCAGAGGCAGGAAGCATAGCCCCAGGGGTTGAGGGACAGGGAGGGCAGATTACTGTTTCCAGGAGAAGATACGTCCATGGTTCTCCTGGGAGACAAGTATGCCGCATCCCTCTTGCCTGTGCTGTGGAGACCCTTGTCCTATCCTAGAGCTGGACTGAAGGAGTTCGGGGAAACATCGCTGGCTCCCTGCTGTGCTTAGCTCCGGAAGAACCTGCTGGGATGCCAGATGGGCTCTCGGAAGCTTGGAGGCTCTTTTCCCATAAAGGCAGTGCGGAGGGAACCGGCCCTGGAACTGTTTGCACCTGAGAGGCCCCCTCCTTGGGAGACTGGCTGAGAAGGATGTGGGAATCTCTTCCCAGTTTCCTGACTCGTCTGCTTTTGTACCAGGCCTGTGAATTGGGCTGGGAGCCGGGCACGTGGATGTAGCAGCAGAGAGGTTTTGTGGTGGTCCTCAGCCTCGTTCCTTCTATCTTCACTGCAGGTGGGACAAATAGCGGGGCCAGAAATACAACTGCCTCTTGGCTGGATTGGGCCTACAAAACCTGGGTGGGGCCTTGTTGTTTCCTATTTGTCAGACAGGTAATTAGGCTTTGGGTATAGGACTGTGCAGGACAGAACAAGGTGTGAACCCCTGTGGGTGGGGGTGGTGACAGAGTCTGGCCTGGTGGGAGGAATCCCTTGAGACAGAGTTCTCCAGCTATGGCCAGAGAAGCATCTGGAACGCTGAAGCCTGGATAACAGGATCCACACCTACTGCACTGTATCCACGAGAAAGCCATTCCCAGGGGTTGTGCAGTGCACAGCACATGCCCTGGAGCCCTGGGTGAACTTGAAGTCCTTGGCCTCTGAGAGTCCCTGACACTAATGATTTCCTGACGTTGGACAGGTCTCAAGGGAAGGGTAGGCTGAATGCTGGGCACTAGATGCTGGTGGGGCTGTGAAGTTCCTGAACTGAGCTCTCTGCTGGAGGCTGCTTTGTTCTCCTGGAGCTAGCAAGAACCACTGAGTGGCTAGGGCAGAATTACTGGTCACCAGCTGAGTTCCAGGCACCATGGAAGGATGAAAACCGTAGAGTCCTGCCAGCTCCTGGCCTGGGAGACCACCTACTGTCCATCCTGGAGACCGGGTGCTTGTAACAACTTAGAGAGCAGGGACACCCACTGACCAGTTAAAGCCAAAATGGAGGGGCCCCTTCTCAGTGATCCTTGCTACACCCACTGTTGTACGGGTGGCTGGGATAGATAATTGGATTCATCTTTCTGGAATGCAGCCAGTCCCACCCAAACTGCCTGAACAACAAGATCACCCAAAAGGAAAAAGCTACTCCTGTGAGCCTCTGGGAGATCTGAGATTGCTCTTCAAAAAGCAAGGCTCCAGTGTGGCTCCAGGAAGTGTGGAAATCTGACATGCCTGTCATATTTGGGCTAATAGTGGAGTTTCTTTCTCCTGTCCAACAGGGGGCTCAATGACCAATGTGCTTTGCAGAGAATGGAAAAAATCTCTTTTAAGAAGCTGATGCCTCCATCCTTTTCTTGAAATCCCCTCTGATTGCACAGAGTTTGGGGGGCAGTGGGATCATTTGTGTTACATTAATACGTACTATATGACAGACACTGATTTAAATAACATTTCTTGCCACAACCATGACGTAGGTACTGTTGCTATCCTTATTTTACAGATTAGGGAGAAAAGGCTCAGAGAGGTTAACTAACCTGCCCAGTTCACACAGCCAGTAAGGTGGAATTGGGATTCACACTCTGCCTGGCTCTCCCATCCCAGCTGCTGTGTCCTGCCACCTAGGCGTGTTCTGTTTTGCCTCATCCTATTCTCTAGTTGCCTTGGTTCTTGGGAAAAGGAGTTGGACTGGAGAAGCCCCCAGGCACACAGATCCATACTGTCCTCGGCTGGTTCTTTCAAGCAACACAGCCCCCAGGCAATGTGGTGGGTGTAGTGGTGGCTGAGTGAGTTTACAGAAGGGGCACTTGAGCTTCAACCCTGGGAGAATTGAGCTCTCTTCCCATCTTCGGTGGCCACTGCCCTTGACCCCAAAATTCTATCTGTAGAAAATTATCCTACATGAGCATTTGTTCACATGCTCCCACCCAATTACATATATATGAGAGAGATGTGTCACGTTACTTTATAATAGTGAAATACTGGAAACAATCTAAATGTCTGTTAATAGGTGATTGGTGAGAGCCCATGAAAAAAAGGTAGCCATTCCAAAATACGTGGTACTGACTTAAGGTGTGAAAGTGGCTGGAGAGTGTGGCATTTCCCTTCTTTTCCTGGAAATCATTCAAAAGCAACAAGGAAAATGGGGTGGAAACTTCACATACAGTGTTTTTAGGTAAAACTAGGGGAGAAACAATTTTAGACTCCAGACTGTGTGCAAAGGCTGATGAAGTGTCTGCGGCCAGACGGTGGTCACCAAGGGGGAAGGAGAGGTGCAAGGTGGAGGGTGACACATGGCCTGGGGGGACAGATGTGGGACAGCTCCAGGAACAGGTACCTCCCCTGAAGGTGACAGACGCACCCTCAAGAGTGAAAGTGCTGTTCCTCCTCGGGAACAGGTATAGGAGCGGGGTGAGCCAGGCTGAGCCCTGAGGCTAGTTAGGGTCACACGGTTGGGAAAGATGGGTGTGTCATGACCCACTGCTATATTATAGGCCACTGCCAAACTTGGTGATGTAAAATCTCAGTTTGTTGTTATCTTTCTCAAACCTGGGACAGGGCAGGCTTTAGTGCATACGCTTTTCTTGGGATTCCTCATTCGGTTGCTATCAGACAGTGGTAAGGATGAGTCATCTGAAGCTGCTTCCCTCACTGTGGGGAGCCTGGCCTCCTGGCCCTCTCTCCCTGGGTGGGTGTTGGCCAATTGCAACCATCTCAGGGTATGATGGGGACCACTGTGAAGCAGCCCCGGGCAGGGCTTAAATTAACCAGTTGGCTTTTTAATGTTTACTGGTGAATGTATCCAAAGCCTAGGCTGCTTGTCTGGAAGTGGGCGACAGACTCATAGTAAGTGAACCTCTGTGAGTCACTAATCCCTACTAAAACCAGTAATGGCAGATGAAGCCGGAAAGCCTCAAAGGACAAGACAAGATCACAGCCAAGGACACCTGGATCTACCTCAACTTGATAAAGACTATAGCCTCAGGCATCTCACTCCTGGGTGGATTAATCCTTATTAAGGATTAAGTTAATACCTTACTTGGAGTGATTCCACCCTTCTTGAGTATTCCCCTCTCTTCTTCTGATAACTAAATAAATACAGGCCACCCAGAGAAGGTTTTGGTCTTAGCCCCAAGAGAATCTTGCATTCTGTGAGAGGGCTTTGATCCTCCTAGAGCCCTGAAGTCATTCCATTTGCCTCTTTTTATTTATCTGTAGCTGTACACTCGTTCGAGAGATTGTGGACCTGATCAGCCCGCAATAACTAAGGGATATTATTAACCCGATAGGGGTGTCAGACTTCTTAAATGGTGGCGAACATTTCCAAAGCGACTGCTCCAAGTGGCCTGTGCTGAAGCTTCCAGGTATCTTTGGAGTTACTGTGGAAGCCCCAGGAAGTCACTTTATGTTCTGTGTGCCAGGCGAGTTAGCTGAGGGCATCCCAGATTCGGGGGGAAAGGGGGAATAGATTCTACCACTGAATGGAAAAGAGCAGCAAAAGCTTTGTGCCATCATTAACTCTGCACGGGGAGCTCTCCCGAGAGTCGCAAGGAGCAGCCCTGCTTGTGTGAAGCAGCTGCATCTATGGCTGATGATCACCAGGAAGCCTGGTGTTTGGTTCCCTGGCAGAACCACCTTCAGAGAACTCGTCCAGTGACTGATGAGTCATACCCAACCTCGAATTAAATCCACTCCAAAGTGAAAGAGGAAACAGGTTAGCAGAAGCTCCCAAAAACTGAAGCAAACTCACCAGAAAAACATGGCCACAGAGCCGATGAAAACTACCCAGCATTATGTAATTGAATTTTAAAAAATGAATGTAGTAGTTGTTTCTATGTAGGAAGACCACAAAACGGAAATAAAGGAGTAGGGGAAAAACGTTTAAACTATTTTCTAGCCCCTAATGTACGAGTTGATTGAGGTAAGGATTGTCAATAGGTACTAAAACCCTTGGGTAAAAATTAATTGAGGACTAGGATGTTCTGATGGTGATAGAGGATCGCTACACAGGTTAATTAGTAATTATAGAGGGGAGATTTTACTTGGCTTGGAAACGACCTGGTGTTTACTCACTTTAGCCAAGTGATCAAACGTGGATCACCGATAACCAGAATCCTAGCATCACGTGTTTCTCAGTGGAATGTGGTTTGAAATGCACAGTCTTTGAGGGGACAAAGGTTTCCACTCCATTTCATTGTCTTTTTTTTTTTTTGTTTTTTTTTTGTTTTGTTTTTCTCCGGTACCGGGAACCGATTTTTTTTGTTTTTTTTTTGTTTTGTTTTTCTCCGGTACCGGGAACCGAACTCACGACCTTGTGCTTGCCAGGCAGGCGCTTTGCCGCTGAGCTAAATCCCCAGCCCCCCATTTCATTGTCTTTATATCTAGCTGGCAGTTTACTGGAAATATAAATGCTAAAAAGAAAAACATGAA